CCAGTGGGGAAGTAAGGAAGTTGTTACTAGAGTTAGATGTGACAAAGGCTATAGGCCTAGATGGAAGCTCCTCTTGGATACTAAAGGAAGGAGCAGAAGCACTGTGCCTGCCACTCTCCATAGTGTATAACAAATCACTGGCAACAGGGAAACTGCCAGAAATTTGGAAAGCAGGGGTGTGAGGGGTGAGGTCTCAGATTGTCGAGACGTCACAAGTGGAGTCCCGCGGCGGTCTGTCTTTGGACCAATACTTTTTCTAATATATGCAAATGATCTCCCAGAGGGTATAGACTCGTTTTTCTCAATGTTTGCTGATGATGCAAACATTTTGAGGAGGATTGAAACAGAGGATGATAGTAGGAGGCTACAAGATGATCTAGACAAACCGAATGATTGGTCCAACAAATGGCTGCTAAAGTTCAATCCGAGTAAATACAAAGTAATGAAACTAGGCAGTGGAAACAGGAGGCCAGACACAGGATACAGAATAGGAGATGAAGTACTTAATGAAACGGACAGAGAGAAAGATCTAGGAGTTGATATCACACCAAACCTGTCTCCTGAAGCCCACGTAAAAAGAATTATGTCTGCGGCATATGCGAGGCTGGTTAACATCAGAACAGCGTTCAGGAACCTGTGTAAGGAATCATTCAGAATCTTGTACACCACATATGTAAGACCAATCCTGGAGTATGCGGCCCCAGCATGGAGCCCGTACCTTGTCAAGCACAAGACGAAGCTGGAAAAAGTCCAAAGGTATGCCACTAGACTAGTCCCAGAACTAAGAGGCATGAGTTACGAGGAAAGGCTGCGGGAAATGCACCTTACGACACTGAAAGACAGAAGAGTAAGGGGAGACATGATCACTACCTACAAAATCCTCAGGGGGAATAGAAAGGGTAGACAAGGATAAACTATTCAACACTGGTGGTACGCGAACAAGGGGACACAGGTGGAAACTGAGTACCCAAATGAGCCACAGGGACGTTAGAAGGAACTTTTTCAGTGTCAGAGTAGTTAACAGGTGGAATGCATTAGGCAGTGATGTGGTGGAGGCTGACTCCATACACAGTTTCAAATGTAGATATGAGAGAGCCCAGTAGGCTCAGGAATCTGTACAACAGTTGATTGACAGTTGAGAGGCGGGACCAAAGAGCCAGAGCTCAACCCCCGCAAGCACAAATAGGTGAGTACATACACACATACACACACACACACACACACTCACATAATATATATATACACATGGAACAGTGTTGGCGGGACATGTATTGAAGGCAACATGGGGGGGTATAAGAACGAGACCCCACAAAGCCACAAGTCTACTGCCACACTAATGGACCTTATACTTCAGGGCCCTCATATCCGAGCCGCCCCACGAGTTTATATTCCACGTTGTTTAACCATTTTGGGTCGACTTTATGGGACGGGGTTTAAATAATAATTACAATAATATTATTAATAATGTCGTAAAATTCATCACAAAGTGAGTTAAGATGAAAATTAAAAGGATATTAAAGTAGGCTGACAGCCGCCACACGAAAATCAGTTTTCTCAGACACTAGGCCTATTTATGTTTCCTTTGGGACGACCCCATTGTTGTGTTCTGTGGTGGAACAACCCACCATTGTTGTGTTCTGTGGTGGAACAACCCACCATTGTTGTGTTCTGTGGTGGAACAACCCACCATTGTTGTGTTCTGTGGTGGAACAACCCCCCATTGTTGTGTTCTGTGGTGGAACAACCCACCATTGTTGTGTTCTGTGGTGGAACAACCCACCATTGTTGTGTTCTGTGGTGGAACAACCCCCCATTGTTGTGTTCTGTGGTGGAACAACCCACCATTGT